CCCCCCCCCGCCAAAAAAAAAGATATCCTGCTTATATGTTTCCCTCACTTAATCCTCATTATGCAGGATAAGTATTATTGTTGGGAATAAGAATAAGGACTCAGGAGCCAGGTGATCAGGTTGGACACATACTTAGCCTCTGTGCCACAGTTTCCTCATATGAAAACAGAAGCAGATAAAGAGAATTTAATTGAAACAGCTAGATAGAGAGTAGGTATTTGAATGTCATATACTGTCATTCTTATCTTATAAGATCTTTGTTAAAAAAACTAGACTTGTTATGATAGAGATTGTGGAGAATAAAAAGAACGCGTGAATCCTTTATTTCTAGATAATCTGCAGCATTGAAGTCGTTCTGGGCATGGATAAAATGCAAGAAATGGTTTTCATGTTTATGGTGGGCCAATGGTGACCAGAGCTGTTGAATTACAAAAATGTTAGTGTATATATATATATGTGTGTGTGTGTATATACTATATATACATATATATGTATATATAGTATATACATATATACATATATAGTATGTACATATGTACATATATAGTATATATACAGTATATATACATACATATATATGTATATATATATGTATGTATATGTAGTGGATTGCTAGAGTTGAGCTCAGGGCTTGGGCACTGTCCCTGAGCTTTTGCGGTCAAGGGTAGTGCTCTACTACTTTGAGCCACAGCACCACTTCTGGTTTTCTAGTGGTTAATTGGAGATCAGAGTCTCACAGACTTTCCTGCCTGGGTTGGCTTTGGACTGTGATCCTCAGATCTCAGCTTTCTGAGCAGCTAGGATTACAGGCGTGAGCCACCAGTGCCTGGCACCTGTCACACACCTGTTCAGCCAGTCAAGTCCTAAACCATTCCCCTTCAAACATAGACAGGCATAGACAGTATGTGCATAGACAGGCACACATTAATAAAATTGCACAGATAACATCCTTATTACATGCATGCATAGTTCTCAAATGCATAGCTCCCACCCATGTGTTTTCTCCATTTCCCCAACATCATCATGTCCCTTGTGTGCCCAGAAGGCAAATTTGTTGTAACTTATATTGTACACTATGTCCTCAAACCTCACATGATATTCTGAAATGTGGCCTTCAGCTGCACACCATTTTTTTTGTTAAGTCAATTTAATAATAACTAAAAAAAAGACTCACCTTCATGTTTAACTTCTGGCCTCAATATTTAGGGCTTTGTGTTTTCAGATGATATGCTAGTCTGTTGCCCCTCTGGATTCTGTGGGCTCTAAAGGAAAGTGGAGAGATTAAGAAAAGACTCGATTGTATAACTATTAATTTCTGAAATGGGTACCTGAGATCAGAGGCAGGCACCTCAAGAAGAAGGCAGGTTGTGGGTACCATTTCGCTTGTCTGCAGAAGAACGAAGAGGAGGTGTGGAAAGAAGGTGTCTAAATCTTTGAAACATGGGGACAAAGGCCAAGATGGTGATGTCTGTTCCCAGAAAACCCTGTATCGGGGTACAGCTAAAGTAAGGGCTTGACCCTTATAATGGCAGCCAATCAGTAGTAAGTGGTGGAGGTGCAAAAATAGGCTTCTAGAGTCCAAGGAGTACAGAAAAGGAAAGAAGTTGGAGAGAAAAGCTGTTTATGAGTCCTCTCATTGGAGAGGAAACGGGGGACAAGGGGACAGGGCTCTGGGGAGTCTATATCCCACGCTCTTAATTAGTATTTTGCATGGAGGTGTCCAGAGAGGAGTCCCCCAAGGAAGGAAGGGGGAGAAATTCTGGAGAGAAAATCCCTTCAGGGTACTGTGTCTCTACCAGGATGTGGGAGACCAGAGGTAGCAGAATTCCTTCTCATTGTCACTCCTCCTCTTAACTGACTTAGATGTTTGTGTTCAAATCAAGTGACCTTAAGCAGGCCACCCTTGACCCATGCCAGTTTTCAGTGTCATCTTCTGTAAAATGAGGAAGACTGCCTTGGTCTGTGGGAGAGGGCGTGGCTTTCTCAGTCATGGTCTCTGTGGACTCACAGTCTCAGCCTTGGCCCAGCACCATTCCTTGTGGTGGTCACACTTTGCTCATCTCTCACTCTCTCATTCTTTATTCTTGAATATTTTGTTTCTAGCTCACTCTCTGCTTCTGATATGATTCTTGGTGAGCTCATTGTCCACATAGATTATACTTTCATACTGTCTCCTTTCAGTTTCTTTCTTAGGGGTCTGGAAATTTTGGACTGTCACTTAACTCCTTTACCTACTTGCATATTTCCAACACTGTGTTCACTTTGTTATACGCCCTTGGTTAAATCAATAGCTTTAAAAAAAATCTGACTTCAATTTTGTCTATTTTTTTTCTGTTGATTCTGGCTTACAGCCAGGCTAAGAGGTTTCTCTTTACATTCATGACCCCTAACTTGGATCCTCTCCACCACACATAAACATGCTTTTATTTTTCTCATTAACAACAACAACAACAGTAACAACAACAACTTTCCTTAATCCTACTTTCCTCAGTTTGACTAAATGCCCTTCCCACAAGTTAAAAGGTATTTAGAGAAGTATGTATCTTAAGAGGAAAAATTCCAAACTAAAGTAATCAGCCTATATAGATGCAACCAGTGTGTGTGTGAATAGACAAACAGGGGCTGTGCATATATTATACTTAGGGAAATGCATCGTTCAATTCACCACCTCACAAATACAGCTGGAGCTGCACCTGACATGTTATGTTGACCACAGAAAAACTAGGCAACTTTTCATGGGCTTTGCTGACAGGAGTGGAGTCTATATTGTTTTGGTAAGTATAAAATTGCAACTTCATGAATTGAAAAATTATAAAATAAGTCACATTGTCATGAGGGAGAAGGATCCTCAGCTAAGGACACATTCTAATGCAGTATGTGTAAAACCTAGGGACTTATTGCTCTTATTCTGCTAATATAGCACTCTTTAGGTGCAATAATTTCAGTCTTAAATAATAATTCTAACTATGTGGTAACTATTGAGCAGATTATTATTATTATTATTACTACTATTTTTTTTTGCCATCCTGGGGCTTGAACTCAGGGCCTGGGCTCTATCCTTGAGCTTCTTTTACTCAAGGTTAGCACTCTACAACTTGAGCCACAGCACCACTTTTGGCTTATTCTGTTTATGTGGCACTGAGGAATTGAACCCAGGGCTTCATGCATGCTAGGTGAGCACTCTACCACTAAACCACATTCCCAGCCCTAATTTTTCTTCTTCTTCCTCTTTTTTTTTTTCCCATCCTGGGGCTTGAACTCAGGGCCCGGGCACTGTCCTTGAGTCTCTCTGTGTTCAAGGCAAGCACACTCTACCACTTGAATCACAATGCCACTTAAAAAATATATTTAAGCTGGGTACTGGTGGCTCATGCCTGTAATCCTAGCTACTCAGGAGGCTGAGCTCTGATGATCACAGTTCAAAGCCAGCCTGGACAGTAAAGTCCATGATACTCTTATCTCCAATAAACCACCAGAAAACTGGAAGGCGCTTTGGCTCAAGTGGTATAGCACTAGCCTTGAACTGAAGACATATATATATATATATATATATGAAGAAATATATATATATATATATATATATATATATATATATATATATATATAGTTGTACCAGGAGTCATGACTCCATAATGTTACCCCTTTTCTAGTTCTCCCCATTTTCTCCCTCCCATCCCTGCCCTCAAGTTAGGTATGTCAGTTTTTATATAATGTACATTGAGTATAATAACTGTATTTGTATTGAGCAGATTTTTGCAATATAATTTTTATTACTTTATTCATTGCCATTCCTTTATGTTTGGGGTTTGTTATCATTGCATAGAACTCTATTTCTATACAAATAGTCCATAGTTTATTTTTTTTATTTTCATTGTTATCGTTGTTAGCAACAAAGTTAACAACTTTAATTCCAAAAATATGTAATAGTTATTATTACCCTAATTTCTTCTATGAAATCAAGTTAAATATTATATGCTAGATGATATACTAAGCCACACAGCATAGACTAGATATCCTCTTTTAAGGTCAGATGGACCTTAAGTTGCTTCTGTAAATGGCTCAGGTTTATTAACTTGTGTACTTTAGAGGCACACAAACATGGGGAAAGAGTGTATATCCTACAAAATTAAGAAGAGTGAGGGAAAAGGTGGTGAGGGGAGGGCTGAAAACGATGGAAGGGGTGACATTGATCATGATGAACTGTATTCATAAACTATTAAATGGCAACTAGCGTATATACAAGAAGGAAACCACCAGGAGGAGGCTGCAATGCTTGGTAAGAAATGTACGCATTATCCTGCCCATGTAATTGTAACCCCTCTGTACAGTATGTTCACAAATAAAATAAAATTAAATTAAAAAAAAAGAAAAAAAGAAGGAAACCACCATTTGACTAAAAGAATATAGATTTTTAACAACTTATTTTTAAATGAGCAGGGTAATATTGTTCTTAATTTCAAAGATACAACATGCAAATTATTGCAGATAGAAAAATCAGAAAGGAGGAATTTATGATTTGAATAATTCAACATTTAATTCCAACATCTGATGTTCTAGATTATATATAGGTACCAGTGCCTCTGCCACTTTTATGTCTTCTGATTTTTCCTCTTCTACAATTTTCCCACATTTGTCATTACCTGAAGTTCCAATCATAGCTCTTCGTGATTGCCGTCCTCTGTATCTCCCTCAGCTCTGCTTCAAATTTTCTGTAACTCATTTGCAAGAGCGTTGAATTGCAATCAAGTGGTTTGAATTGACTTGGAAAGGTTGTTGAGACAGGTGCTGGTGGCCCCGCCTATAATCCTAGCTACTCAAGATCTGAGCCATAGAGGTTCAAAGCCAGCCTAGACAGGACTGTCCATGAGACTCTTATCTCCAATTAACCACCAAAAAGCCACAAGTGGAGCTGTGGCTGGAGTGATAGAGCATCAGCCTTGTGCAAAAAAGCTAAGAGTCAATGCAACCCTTAGTTGAAACTGCCACACACACACACACACACACACACACACACACACACACGAAAAGGATTAGAAAGTCACTGTATTGCTAAAAAGTCTTAACTAATTTGCTGCCTAAACTAAATAGTGTCAGAGAGGTCTTCCCTCCACAGACAGGCAATGTGTATTTGGAACTGCACCAGTGATTCTGCATAGGTTAGTTTCAGGTTGCAATTTTTAATTCACAGGAATGTCACACCTAGTTATTGTGGTGGTAGGCCGTTCAACACGGGTCCGCTCTTTGTATTTCAACTCTTGCAGCCAGTCGCTGCTGGAAATGATTTGATACAGCTTGGAGAATAACTCTCTCCACCACGACAGCCTGCACAGGGTGGCCATTTCATGGTGGACTCTGGAGTCAAAGGACTGGTGACACTTATCAGAGGGGATTTAGGATAAAGCCCGTTTCATTACGATTGAAGAAATAGTTGTAGCCTCCAAGGCAGCTCCGTGCTCTCTGGTGAAAGGTTTGGATAAGAATTCACCTGAAAGGGGATTGCTGTGATTCAGGTTTTCTCCCATCTGATCAACGCCCTGCTGAATGGCAGCACAGATGGAGCCCATTTGGGAGAAAAAGAAAAAAAAAAAAGAAAACCACAGGAAGAGTAGAAAAGAACTAGGGGCCGGGGTAGTCTGCGCCAAGCTGGAGACGCTCATTGCTTTTCCTGGCCTATTTTCCGAGGACTAGATTTGCATCCTTGGGGTCTGTCCCTTCTCAGGGAGATGCCTTCGCCTCTGGCTCCCCGCCACGGCCTCCCGGGCGAGCTGCCTCCGCCGCTGGACTCGAGGCCCTGCAGCAGCCCCTCGGTGCTCCCTGGAAAGCTCTTCCCGAGCAGTGCTCCTTCCCGCGCCCCGAGGCTGCCACGCCGGCTGGCTTGGTGCTTCATTGACTGGGAACAGGTGCACTTGCTCCATAAGTTAGGAGCCGGAGGCTTTGGCTCGGTGTACAAGGCGACTTATTATGGCGTTCCGGTGGCCATAAAGCAAGTGAACAAGTGCACCAAGGACCTGCGAGCGTCCCAGCGGAGTTTCTGGGCTGAGCTCAACGTGGCCAGGCTGCGCCACGACAACATCGTGCGCGTGGTGGCCGCCAGCACCCGCACGCCTGCGCATTCCAATAGTCTCGGCACCATCATCATGGAGTTTGGGGGCGATGTCACTCTACACCAAGTCATCTATGGTGCCCCCAGCGGCCCCGAGGAGAGGGCTGGGGAGTCTGGGTGCTGCTCTGGAGAGCAACTGAGTGTGCAAAAGAGTTTCAAGTATTCCCTTGACGTGGCCAAAGGCCTGCTTTTCCTACACTCGCAGAGCATCGTGCATTTGGACCTGAAACCGGCCAACATTTTAATCAGCGAGCAGGATGTCTGTAAAATTGGTGATTTTGGGTGTTCCGAGAAGCTGGAAGAGCTGCACGGGTCCCGGGCCCGGCCCCCCCCTCTCGGGGGCACCTACACCCACCGAGCTCCCGAGTTACTGATCGGAGACCCCATCACCCCCAAAGCTGACATCTATTCTTTTGGCATCACGCTCTGGCAAATGGTGACCAGGGACGTGCCTTACTCCGGGGATCGGCAGTACGTGCTCTACTCTGTGGTGGCCTCCAATCTGCGCCCCTCCCTGGCCAAGACTGTCTTCACCGACTCGCTCCTGGGGCAGAAGCTTGAGACCCTCATTCGCTGTTGCTGGGAGGCCGAAGCGCAGCTGAGGCCGAGGGCGGGGCAGCTCCTGGTGACCTTGAACCTTTTAAAAGTCGAATGGGCCAACGCCACACCTGTAGCAAGATAAGTTTTCGTCTTTGTTTTTCTCTGTGTGTTTGTGTTTTTAAAGAAGTGAGATGTGTAAGAAAACAGATAGGTAGGACAGAGTTGTCAAAAATAAAGTCGCTAAAACCTCCTGTAGGTCTGAAATGGTGTTTACTAAGGCAAATAGAACCACAAATGTCATTGTATGTCTTTATATACAGACCTATAAAAAGGAACATTATGATGAAAGGCATTGTAAAGGAGGAGAGCCAGTTCTGGGGCCAGCTCTGGGCTCCCTGATGAGGAGAGATTGTTGTAATAAGAATTCACTTCAGAGCAGGGCACTGGTGGCTTATGCCTGTGAGCCTAGCTACTCAGGAGGTTGAGATTTGAGGATGGAGGTTCAAAGCTAGCCCTGGTAGGAAAGTCTGTGAGACTCTTATCTCCACTAAACTACCCAAAAGCCAGAAGTGGAGCAAAAGAAGCTCAGGGACAGTCTCTAGGCCCTGAGGTCAAGCCCCAGGACCAGCTCCCAAAACAAAACAAAAAGAAACGAACAAAAAAGAATTCACTTCAGCTACAAGAGGGTGCTATCCTCATCTGAAAAAAGACTAATAATTCAGGTTTTCTTTTGTACACATATAAAGTCATAGGTTGTGTATGTATATTGTCAACTATGTACACTCTTAGGTGCTCTAGCACTTTAGCTGCATCTCAGTCTTCTTTGCTTTAGTTGTTATTCAGTTATTATTATTACTACTACCACTACTATTTTGGTGCCAGTAGCAGAGTTTGAACTCAGGGCCTTTGGCTCTCACTTGGCTTTTTTGCTAACAGCTGAAGCTTTATCACTTGAGCCACAGCTCCACTTTTGCCTGTTTGCTGGTTAATTGAAGATAAGACTTTTCTTCTGGGGCTGACTTTAAACTGTGATCCTCAGATCTGAGCCTCTTGATAGCTAGGATCACTGGTATGAGGCACCAGCAACTAGTTGCTTTATTTAAGTAGGGCCTGTGCATTTTCCCAAGTGGCCTCTATTGACAATCTTTCTAGCTAGGATCAGAGGCAGGAGCCACTGTACCTACATGGCTTCAAATTTGTTCTTTATTAAAAAAAAACAAAAGAGGGGCTGGGAAGGTGGCTCAGTGGTAGAGCGCTTACCTTGCATGCCTGAGGCCCTGGGTTCGATTCCTCAGCACCACATAAGCAAAAAGAAAAAAGCCGGAAGTGGCGCTGTGGCTCAAGTGATAGAGCACTAGCCTTGAGCTGAAGAGCTGAGGGACAGCGCCCAAGCCCAGAGTTTAAGCCCCATGACCGGACCCAAAAAACAAACAAAAAAACAAAATAAAAAAAAAAAAACAAAAGAAAGCTGGTGGCTGAAGCCTGTAATCCTAGCTACTCAGGAGGCTGAGATTGGAGGATCACAGTTCAAAACCAGCCCTGGCAGGAAAATCCATGAGACTTTTATCTCCAATAAACCACTAGAAAGTGGAAGTGGCGCTGTGGCTCAAGCGGTAGAGTGCTAGCCTTGAGCTGAAGAGTGCGGGGACTGTGCCCAAGCCCAGAGTTCAAGCCCCATGACCGACAAAACAAAAACAAGAACAATCAAACACCCAAAACACCACATACCCAATTTTCTATCAGGGAGTACTGCTGTAGGTATTCCAAAAATTTCTACAAATTCTTATCGCATGGTTTGTCTATACCACTTAAATTCAGGCTTTTTTTCCTTCATCTTCTTCCAAACCAAATAATCAAAAATTGTTTTTTTTCTTCCCCTAAGAAAATTATTTCTTGTTGGTCCTGACCTTCACACATCAAATTTATGAGAAGTGAATTCATTTGAAAAGAAATGTTCTAAATGAAATTCAAAGCTGTGCATTGCCTCAGGGTTCTCTCTATTATCGTTTGATAAACCCCCCGGGCTTGGAATTTTTTCTCTTGTGTTTCTTCATTATTTTCCTCACTTATCTTCATGGCTTATCCTTTTCTGGCTGAATGTGGAGGCCAGAGTTGATGGATGATGGGAACTGCTCTAGATTAAAATACTACAGCATCTCATTATTCTTGCTGAGGTTTAGGAAATATTCTATGTGTAGGAGTTACTGGGGTTTGAAATAAGGGCTTTGTTTTGAGCACTCTACCGTTTGAGCTCTCCCCCCTATCCCTTTCCTGAGCTATTGTGCTTCGAACCATGATCCTCAGATCTCAGCCTCTTGAGTAGCTAGGATTACAGGAGTGAGCCACCAGTGCCCAGCTCCTGCCACCCTCCCCCCACCCCTTTTTATGTCAGATCATGAGTTTGAACTCAGAGCCTATGTGTTGTCTCTGAGCTTTTTTGGCTCAAGGCTTACATTCTGCCACTTGAGCTACAGCTCTACTTCTGGCTTTTTAGGTGGCAATTGGAGATAAGAGTCTCAGGAAACTGCCTGGGCTAGCTTTAAATCCCGATCCCCAGATCTGAGCCTCCTGAGGAGCTAATATTACAGGCATGAGCCACTGGCCCCAGGCTGAGTTTTGGGATAGGATCACAGGTTTGCCTAGCTGGCTTGGATGACCCCATCAATGCTTCCTGAGTAGCTGGGATGACAGGCATGAACCACCTAGGCTGGTTTTTTATTGGTTGAGCACAGGGCTGGTTCCTTGTGCTGCCGTGGACTTAACCCTTGGCAGTCTCCTTGTTCTGCTCAAGCCTTAACCTGTGCCTGCAATGTGGCAAGGCCTTCAGCCATAGCTCCAACTCAAGGAGTTACAGAAGCCACAGGTGTGGGATGTCCTTTAGTTTCTGCAGTGTAATCAGTGCCTGGGGGGAAGCTGGAACTTGAGGAGCCGCTGGTGTTGACACAAAGGCAGCCAGCTTCCTTTCTGCTGTTGGTTGTGTGGCCTTGGTCTCAGGCAGGACTGCTGGGGCTAAGAGCATGCACTCTCACGCCTCCAGTGGCCCTGCAGTATCGCCAAAGGTTCATCAACAGTTCAGGCTTGAGGCCTGGCCAGTGTGTCTGTGCTGGTCTGCAGTGCCAACTGCAATCCCAGCTTTAGCTGCAACTTTGTGCTGCTGTTAACCTGTTGCCCTTCACATTGGAGGAGCAGCCTTACAGGTGCGGTGAGGATAGCAAGTACTTCCGGGTTAGCCGCTGGCCCCACCCACAACTGGTGAGAGGCTCCCAGTGGCCAGAAGAGTGTCAACCTGAGTTTGCGTCAGATCTTTCAGTAGAGAAGGCTCAAGGCTGTTTGCCCTTCCATTGTAGTTTTTGCTACAAGGGCTTCAGAAATCCTAAAGGCGCTGGGTGTTGTGTCAAGAGCTTCCTCCAGAAGAAAACTATCATCTCACTGGCAGCTGCAGATGCTAGATGAACAGTGGAACAGTGCACAGAAAGAGGGGCTCCAGACACAGGGAGCAGGAAAGAAGGGAGGTCATCCCAGGGCCTGGCCAGCCATCTTTCCCCCAATCCCTCACTTGGAAATTGGACTTCCTGGGGTGAAGCTATTTTCATAGTCTGCTGGATTTACCTTCTGGAATATAGAACCACCCATCTGTTTTCATGTGCCCCAATTATTTCTTGCAGTGATTTTGCTTTCTTCTGGACAAAGGCTGCTATCGGACTTGTGGTTGATGGAGGCTAGCATTTCTCCTTCTATATGAATTATTTGGATCAATGTCAGTTTTCTGTGCGGTCTCAGGATGGGGTTAAAGCTATTGTTTACAAAAACTTTTACCTTGCCTTTAAATACACTGTCAGGTGTACCAATTTCTGGGCAAAGGCCCTTTCCTCTAGCAGTGCTCATAAAACTCCTTATTGCTCAATGTCAGGATATTAGAACTGTAATGCTACCATGTGGCCATACTGGGAAACTGCATCTTCCCTAATGCTGAAATGTAGCACTATTTTCTTGAGCTTACGAGATCATTGTCAAGTTTTTAAGCTGAATGGTATCCACTGAGTTCCTGATTCATGTGTCTAGGGCAATCTCTGAAAGTTTGCATTTCCAGATTCTCTGGTGATGGCTGCTGCTCGTCAGGGATCACATTTTGAGGACAGTTCAATAGTTTTGAGTTCCCAGCTCCACCATTACCACAGGTAAAAGTTCTTGGAGTGTGTGAAATCCAAGTGCTTTGGCTGTTACAATTCTGTGGCCACTAGGGGGCAATCTCTTAAATTATCTGTCCTTTCTGTATGGCAGCGGAGAAAGTTTAGGAAACCTAGGGGATAAGAAGAGATGAGATTCTGCCAACCCACAAGCCCAGAACAAATTTTGTTGTTCAACTGGACACAACCTCTACCTTTCATTTATTTCTTTTCCTATTAATGGCCCTAAGCTTTATTCTAGAAAGAGTTGAATGTGCCTTCCATAAATATACAGAAAATAAGGATGAGGGATACTGGACAAAGAAAAAGAATAGACAAAATGAGGTGGAGCCAGAACGTAGGTGAGTATCTAAAAACTACACGGAAAGGAGTTGCACACTTCCTGAAGATGAGTAACAAGTTCTTTGGTTGTCAGGCAAAGAGGAAAAAATGATTAGTTTTGTTTTCATGTGATGTAGACATTCTACATCTATGTATTCACATAAAACCAATGAAAACAATCCCTTATGTGAACACAAATGTTTGTAGGACTTTTAACTATCCAACCCCAAATTGGAAACAATCCAAATTTTCATTTGCAGGCGGATGGGTGATTGTGGTATACCTAGGCTCCTCCTCCTTCTGGTGGAAGTGGGATTTGAACTTAATACCTCAGCTTGTTTGGCACATACTTTACCATCTGAGCCACAACTCCATTCCTAAAAGGTTTCTTTCTGTTTCTTTTGGTATAACTATACAATGGGGCTATCTCTTAGGAATTAAAATACAGATGAATCTCAATTATGTTGAATAAAAGAAGTCAGCGGGCTGGGAAGGTGGCTCAGTGGTAGAGTGCTTGCCTTGCATGCTTAAGGCCCTGGGTTCGATTCCTCAGCACCACATAAGCAAAAGCCAGAAAGTGGCGCTGTGGCTTAAGTGGTAGAGCGCTAGCCTTGAGCTGAAGAGCTGAGGGACAGTGCCTAGGCCCAGAGTTCAGGCCCCACAACCGGACCAAAAAAATAAAAATTAAAAAAAAAAAGAAGTCAGCTTCCCCCAAGTCATATTTTTTTATTGTTTTATTTATATAAAATTTTAGGAAAGGCAAATTAAGTGATGGCAAGCAGATTTAAGGGTGCCCAGAAATGAGGAAGGCAGGGATGGGTGGGAGAGAGCTTTTACAATGGGACACGAAGAAAATTTGGAGATGGGCAGAAATGTTTTAATAATTATGCCAATGGTTTCATAGCATGCAATTTCCTTCTACATCTATGCTTCCATAAAATGGGGAGGAAACGTGATTGCTTATATGATAGGAAAAATACAGTTACTTCTATCATGGAGATGTCAGTTACATTTTTTTTCTCTAGAAGTTCCATAAGGTTGCTTCTTCTTATACTCTCCCTAGCAGAGAATAATGGAAGAATGCCAAATTACCTTGTTAGTGAGGAGAAGTCTATGAAGAGTAAGTGGGGATAATTAAGACTTAGAAAACAATACATTTTAAATGTTCAACTCTGTGCTGGTTTGCTTTAGTCTGGGGATAACTTTTTTCTCCTCTTTTCATTTCTGTGTATCCCAGGCTGGTTTCAAACCCACAATCCTCTTGCCTTAGTCTCTTGAATGCTGGGATTCCAGGCATATGACAATATACCTGGCTTTAAGATTTTCAGTGGTTAGAGGGAAAGCGTTTTGACCATCTTTTAGACAGTGCTCCACATGCTGTTCCTCTCTCCTGAAGAGCAATAGTGTTGAGGCTTAAACTCACTGTTAAAGTGAGTGTGGGGAAGGCCACACTGCTGCTGTGGGAAGTTAATGAGCAACCACCTGAAATTTTATAATTTATGTATTTGCTTTTGTGCTGGTCCCGAGGCTTGAACTCAGGTCCTGAGCTTTTTATTTCCCCTCCCTCAAAGCTAGTACTCTACTACTTGAGCCACAGCTTCACAGCTCTACAGCTCCACTTCTGGCTTTTTTGGCGCAAATTGGTGATAAGAGTCTCATGGACCTTTCTGCTGGGGTTGGCTTTTGAACAGTGATCCTCAGATCTCAGCCTCACGCATAGCTAAGATTACAGGTGTGAACCACCAGCCCCCAGCAGAAATAACCACTTTTATGTCCCTTTACTTTAATATTTTGATTCCAGATATTTCCTTATTTTGCTTTGTTCTCTGCATTTCCTGGAAATCAGTGTGGTCTCTCCCACCAGGCAACCAGGGTTGTCTGGAAAAATAAAAAAAATTGCACCTGATATTTATCTGGTTTTCCCTGCAGCAGCAAGCCAAGCAATGGGCACACTGAAAATATTGAAGAAATGTTGGTAAAATGAAATGTGGAGCTTAATAAACAGTATGTAGATCATATTTTAGTCAATTAATTAATATGCATTTTTAATATCTTCTCTTGCAACATCTCTTTTTCCATGAACCCCTTTAGCTTATCTCATTTGTTTGTTAACCCCTTGAATGTTAACTGCTATTTTATTTGTTGTTTGGCTTAACCTCTGCTTGGTGATAGTTTCCCTTACCTTTGTTTTTATGGTGGTATCTTTCTCTACCTTCCTTTGGGTGTCTTGGCTCCCAGTGCCCATGGGCATTCTGTGAACACCCTTCTTTGCCCCCAGTGAAGGTACACAGTGTGAACTTTACATTATCTTCTGTGCTGATCTGATTCACTAATGATAATGCATGTTGAGACATCATTTTGCTCAGGTAGTTAATGAATCATCACAAAGTATAATAAAAAGGACTTTATAGTTATCCTAACTTTTTGGATAAGGAGATTAAGGCTCAGAGATTACATCATTTGCTGGTGATTATACAATTAGTTTGGAAGAATTAATTTGAGTTCAGGTCTGTTTGATACCAAAGTCTATTTTCATAACCACTGTCATACTGATTTCCATAAGAACTTACCTTCATGGAAACGTTTCTGATCTTACTTGACTTCTAGAGATTTTAGTTATTTATTTTTTGTCACCATAGAACTTTGTTAGGTATAATTAAATGTGCTACCATACTAACCAGGGGTGGTCCCCAGGAAATGAAGAACACTTTTCCTTAGGATGTACACAAATCAGAGAACTTTATGCATTATTGCTAGGGCTGAAAATTGCACAGCTTTGATAGTCTGATGAGGTTGATGTTCTGTAACTTTTCTTAGCTGTCAGGTTACTCTGCTTGTAAAACCGATCTGTGGTCCTGGTTTCTTGGAACAGAAGATAGGATAGAGTGTGTGGTGGAGGGGGGGATCTAGGGCGCTTGGGGAGCTCTTCAAAGGCAGGTGTCTGCAAGATCCAAGCCTCCTCTTGCTCTGATCCTTGGTAGTTTAGAGCTAATAGCGAGTGCTGTGTGGCAGTCATCACAGGGCCATCCCCTTACGGTGTCAAATCTCTGCAGGGCCCATCTTCTGGATGGTTCTCTTTAGGGCAGCCTTGACGTCCGCGTTCCGCAGGCTGTAGATGATGGGATTGAGGATAGGAGTGACCACAGCATAGAAGAGGGACAGCAAGGGGTCGGTGGCTGGGTCATAGCTGGCCTTAGGACGGATGTAAATAAAGATGGCAGTGCCATAGAAGAGGGAGACGACGATCAGGTGAGAGGAGCAGGTGGAGAAGGCCTTGCGTCGGCCCGTGGCCGAGGGGATCCGAAAGATGGTAGCCAGGATTCTCCCGTAGGAGCTCAGGATGAGGCCGAAGGGGCAGAGGATGATGAGGGCTGCGGCCAGGATAATCTGCAGCTCGTTCAGGGACGTGTCCCCACACACCAGCTGCAGCACGGGCTGGATCTCGCAGAAGAAGTGAGGGATGGCGTTGGGGCCACAGAAAGGCAAGGAGAAGATGAAGGAGGTGTGGCCCAGGCCCACCATGGCCCCGCAGGCCCAGGCGGAGCCGGCTAGCTGCACGCACACCCGGCGGCTCAGCAGCAGCGGGTAGCGCAGGGGCGCGCAGATGGCCGCGTAGCGGTCGTAGGCCATGGCTGCTAGGAGACAGCATTCCGTGGCCCCGAAGAAGAGAAAGAAGAACATCTGGAGCGCGCAGCCCGTGCGAGGGATGCGGCGCTGGCCCGTGAGCAGGTGCCCCAGCAGCAAGGGCACGGTGACAGAGGTGTAGCAGATCTCCAGGGCCGAGAGGATCCGCAGGAAGAAGTACATGGGCGACTGGAGGGCGGCGTCGGTGGAGATCAGCAGGACGATGAGGAGGTTGCCGGCCACGGTGAGCAGGTAGACAGTGAGAAAGAGGGAGAAGAGCAAGCCCTGCAGGTGGGCCAGGCGGGAGAAGCCCACCAGGATGAATTCCGTCACCGTGGAGGTGTTTGCATTCATCCTGCGCCCATCTCTTCTGGCAGGAGGACCAGGAGATGGCAAGGAGTGTGGCTAGGGGGTGGGGGTGGCGAAGCGGAGGAAGCTGATTGGTTCAAAGCACTGGCCCTTCCTTCCTGTAGAGTCTCAGAGGCCTTGGGTCCACGTTCCACCCAGGCTCCAGCACGCCTGCCACTCCAGCCCCCTCATTTCATCTTTCTCCCCCCGGGCCTGTTTCTCGGGATGCATTGAATTGTGTGTAGCGCTTCCTGGAGGGAGAGTTGGATTATTCCAGCTCCCCCTTCACTCCTTTCTCCCTTCCCCATCCTTGCCCCAGGGCTGGGGACTGAATGCGTCCCCCCAGCAGAAGGTTTCTGCTTAGAACCACCATTTGTTCCATGCTGAGGACATGAGAAATCCTGCTGCAAATCAAGCTTTCCTTTCTGTTCTTGACCCTGCCAATCTTGCACTTCTTTTCCTTTCCTTCTTTCTCCTTATGCGATTTTCCTCTCAGCTGGTCTCTCTCTCTCTCTCTCTCTCTCTCTCTCTCTCCCACTCCCTCCCTCCTTCTCTCCCTCCTCCTCTCCCTCTAGGTCTGTAGGTCTGTCTGTCTGTCTCTCTCAGCTCAATTTTCACTGCTGGCTCTCTGCCTTTACTCTTATTGGTTGTTACTTCAATTACCAGTCTCTCTACATTTTATTTCATTTTACCACCAGATGAATTTTACAATTTTCATTGGTTGGGAAAAGATTTAATAGAGCATCTCTTTCATTCTCTTGTAAGCAGCCAAGTAGTTCAATTACCCAGAGGAGTGAGATTCTTTAAAAAAATACGCTGGAGGAGGAGAAGACTCTTCCTCAGTTGCTTGTTTTTGCACCTTACAGCTTCAGAAACATCATCCCTTTCTATCTTAATGTACACTCAAACCCAGCACTACACGCATGAAATCACCAATCTCGCCCACCGACATACTGCGTTTATAGATCTAAGCACAAGAGAATCACCCAATATCCTTGGATGTTAAGTTCATCTATAATCACAAATGAATCACTTTTTGTACATATTAAAACATCATGGCAAATAACAAAAGTCAAAATATATGTAACATAAAAACATAAACACCAAAAGACAGGCTTAAGTAGACACATAAATCCAAATTCTGTGCAAAGATACAACCATACATCAGAAATATAAGCCAACACATGGATAGCTACTTTTTCATTGGGAGTCCTTGGATCACCCACCTTGGGTCCACGTTCAGTGTTTTCTGGGATGGGATTTGAACAGCACTTTTTTATTTGGAGAGATAACTCATGACAAAGGCACTTGATGACTTATTTTCTCCTCTTTCTACATAAGAGATCCCTCATGAGGAGAGTAGGTTTGGTGTCTCTTCAAGTCTCTGAGGACTTGAGTCTCCAAGCCTATTTGATTTTCCAACAGGGAGAACTTTTCACATAACTAATTAATCTGTTATTTCTAAGTCTGTTCCCTTAATCACAAGAATTTTAGGATGACCTGTCAAGAACATTGCAGCTATTGGTTTCTCTTAGCTCCCTCATAATATCTCTGAATATTTTTCTCTCATGATTTTTTTCTATCGCTGTAGACATTCTAGTATATCTACACAACTTAACAATTCATTTTACCTACCTTATTGGTATATTCAATTTATTATTTTTTTGTTTTGCTGGTCCTAGGGCTTGAACTTTGGATCTGGGCACTGTCCCTGAGCTTTTGTGCTCAAGTCTAGTGCTCTACCACTTGAGCCACACCTCTATGGATTCCAGCTTTTTGTAGTCAATTGGAGCTAAGAGTCTCATGGACTTACTTGCCTGGGATGGCTTTGAACCATGATTCTTAGATCTCAGCCTTCTGAGAAGCTAGGATTACAGTTGTGAGCTACTGGTACCTGGCAATCAATTTACTGTCTAACTAGTTGGAGAGCCTATTTCAGTCATTTTACAGAGAATTAAGAATATGAGAAAAACATTTTTGACCTAGTGAGCTTAAAAATATTTTTTGAAAGAAAAATTGTTCCTAATTTTTCTTGCTTTGACTTAAAAATTTGTTATACAAGGGCTTTATTTACATCCTCATCACTGAATTTATTATTTGATTTATATTTTTCTGTGTTCTTACATATTTTAATAGACGGTATATTCTACATGTTAGAAGTTTTCAAGACTTTTTTTTTTTTTGGTGGGTTGTGGGGCTTGAACTCTGGGCCTGGATGCTGTCCCTAAGCTCTTCAGCTCAAGCCACAGTACCACTTCCCGTTTTCTGGTGGTTTATTGGAGATAAGAGTCTCACGGACTTTTCTGCCTGGGCTGGCTTTGAACCGTGATCCTCAGATCTCAGCTTCCTGAGTAGCTAGGATTACAGGCATGAGCCATCGACGCCTGGCTACAGATGATATGTTTTAAAGTGAACTAACTGATATAGATTCTTCAAAAATATTAATCTCAAAGACAAAACAAAGGTAGATAAAGATAAATAGAAAATTTTATACATCAATGGATATGTTAAATTGAAAAACTTCTGTATAACTATTGGAAGATAACAAAAATACAATAATAAAACAATGCATGCAAATCTCATAAAAACAAGTAAACTTTTATAATTTGGAATCTGAGTAAACTACTTTGGATAAGCAAAAAAATTCACTTTTTTCTATTTTCTTAATAAAGCCACAAGCAATCATTTGTGTCTCTGATGCCTTCAGCAGTCATCCTGAGGCTTGGACATTTGTCCACCTTTGGGATACCAATTGGAAGGCTTGTGGAGCCAGTGGGAACCTGCTTGGTCTACAAGGCATAAAGTTTTCTGCAGTGGGCAGTGGCTTCCAGTATACAAAGAAGGAGAGCATGAACTAGTGCATTTCAAACACTGAAAGAAAAACAATTGCCAGCCTAGATAACTGTATCCATCAAAGCTATTTTTTGTAACTGAAGGAGAATGGAAAAGCTCCCATAATCATAAAAAAATAGAGGAATTCATGACAAGTAAACTAGTGTGACAGAAAATCTTAAGGTATTCCTACATACAGACGAGGAAGACAAATGTAGCTATAACCATAGGGAAAGGAACAAATCTGACTAGAGCTTTAGATAAGAAAATGAGGAGCAAAGAAGAATCAAATACATACTGCAAAACCCAGTAAAATAGCAGGAATGCCTAACTGTCCTAATTCTCCAGTCAAAAGACAGATGGGCAGATTGGGTTATAAAACAGGAATCAAATCATTTATTGCCTACAAGTATCACATGTCATGGTGAAGATAAACATAGAAAAGAGAGAAAAAGGATTTCCCAAGTAAATGGAGCCCAAGAACAAGCAGGAATAGCAGTAGACTTCAAAACAAAATTAGTTAGAAGAGGGAAAGGTGATTACTTCATATTGATAGAAAGAACAACCCAGTAGGAGGGGATAAATTGTAAACATACATGCACTTAATGTCCACACACCTGGTTTTTCTAAAGCAGACACTACCAGACAGAAAACAGACGAACACCACCACACAAATAGTGAGTGCCTTTAATACCTTACTGTAGCCAACAGGAGGTCATATAGACAAAAGATATAAAAAACAGCAACAAAATCAGAATTAAATAGACGAAGTGAACTTAACAGACAACCACAGGATATTACACCCAATAGTTACAGAATATCTTACTTTCTGCAAAATAGATCACCTCTTAGTATATAACTCAAGTCTTAATGAACACAGTACAATTGAAATGGTTGTTTGTATTTTATCAGACCACATAGAATAAAACTAGAAGTCAATAACAAGAGACTACAGGAAATATACAAATACACGGAGACTGAAAAATTTACTCTGTGTGTGTTTGTGTGTGCACACGTGTGTGCACCTGCACGCATGAATATCCCCGTCAGTACTGGGGCTTGAACTCAGCGCATCATGCTCTCATTGGTCTTTTTTGCTCATTTCAGTTTTATCGTGCTTGTTTCATAGCCCTTCGGTCACTGGAACCATGCCTCCAGCCTTTTTTGCTTTTGTTAGTTTTGAATAGAGTCACTTTTTGCTTGGTTAGACTGGACAGTGATCCTCATGTTTATGCTTCCTGTGTGTCTTGGATGACAGATGTATACCACTGTGTCCAGATTTTTATTGGTTGAGCTGGAGTTTTGTGTCAGTTCTACTGGACTGACCTCAAACTGTGCTCTTTCTGATCTCTGCTTTTTTGAGCAGCTCAGATTATAGTCATAAACCACTGTTCCCAGCTGAGTTAGGAGCATTACACCCGCTTCCAGTAATATCTTCTTTATTTTTCAGTAATATCTTCTTATAAACAGTTTGACCAGATCAGAGACAAAGGCTCCAGAAATCGATAGAAGAACCATGAGTCACTATATTTTTGTTAATTTGGAACTATAAAGCCATTTGCTTTATTGCTTGTTTGCCTCCTAATTTTCAGAACTAGAAATAGTGCATGCTTTAAAAATGTTATCTTTCCCCTCTGTATATCACCTTTCTAATAACAATTAAAAAATTAAAAAAGTCATCTTTAATTCATGTATCAGTTGTTATCTACTTTTCCAGTTGAATACTCTCATATATTACACTCATTAAAATATAAAATATTATAATTTTATTGATCACTTTACAATGTGTGCACCTAATGGGACTTACAGATACAAACAACTATTATCCAATAACATTGGATACTATCTACTCAGTAATTTGGGTAAGAGTCATATTTACATTTTTGATTTCATATAAGAGTATGTAGAAAGTATGCCAAATCAATTTTATCAACTGATATCCCCCCAAAAAGTCACAGTAAAGATTTTAGAGTAGTAGCCCATTATTCAAAATATTCTTACATTATTTACTGCAATACATTGTTAAATACAGCAGGAACGTTTTCACATATATTTTTCATCAGTTTTTCCTAAATTCGAAATAATTTTGGAGCAATATAATTTCAAATCTTGGCTTTCCCATTAACTACTTATTTATTTATATGTTTAGAAGAAGTGAACAGTTCCATTTTTTTGGTCAGTTATGGTGCTTGAACTCAGGGCCTGGGCATTGTCCCTGAGCCTCTTTGTGCTTAAAGCTAGCATGCTACCACTTGAGCCACAGCACCACTTCCTGTTTTCTGGTGGTTTATTGGAGATAAGAGTCTCACGGACTTTCCTGCTCAGGCTGGCTTTGAACCATGATCCTCAGAACTCAGCCTCCTGAGTAGCGAGGATTACAGGCATGAGCCACCAGTGCCCAGCTTTTTTTTTTTGTTTGTTTATACTCAGAATTTCCTTCTAATCATCTTGGTCAAGGCAGTCTTGACGTCTTTGTTCCTCAAAGTATAGATCAGTGGGTTCAGTCCAGGAGAGACCACCGTGTACATAATGGCAATGATCCGGTCCTGGTCCAGAGAGCTCCAGGAGGCAGGGCGCGCATAAATGAAGATAACAGGAGCGTATAAAAGAATAACTACCATGAAGTGGGAGGCACATGTGGACAGGGCTTTGTGAAGCATGCTGCAAGAGTGGGTCTTGAGGAAGAGATAGGCGATGATGTAGAAGTAGGAGAGAAGGATCAGAACGAAGGTGCCCATGCCAAGAGAGCCGGTGACAACATTGAGCAGCTGCTGGTTGAGCTCAGTGTTCCCACAGGCCAGCTCCAGCAGTGGCTTCACATCACAGAAGAAGTGGCGGATCTGGTTGGAAGCACAGAAGTTCAAGCGAGATGTCATTACTGAGTGCATCAGGGCGTGGAGGAAAGCAATGGTCCAGATAGTGACAGCTATCCTGGTACAGAGCTGAGGGTTCATGATGATTGGGTAATGAAGGGGTTTGCAGATAGCCATAAAGCGGTCAAACGCCATCACAGCCAGCAACTGGGCCTCTGTGCTCCCCAGGAAGTGGAAGAAATGGAGCTGGCTTATGCATGCTGAGAAGGAAATGGCTTTGTTGGTAGAGATTAAATTTTCCAGCATCTTTGGCAATGTCACTGTGGAGAAACAGATATCTAGACAAGCCAGGTTTCCCAGGAAGAAATACATAGGTGAGTGCAATCCTGAATCGGAGATGATGACTGTTAGGATGGCTCCGTTCCCAGCCACATTAACAAAGTAGAAAGTGAGGAAAACAGCGAAGAGAAAAGGGTTCAATTTTTCCATGTCTGTCACTCCCAGGAGGAGGAATTCGGTGACTGAGCTTTGGTTCAGCATCACTTAAAAGAAGACAGCAGTGATTTGTAGAACACTCTAATGAGAATCAATTGATCTTTCCACATCAGGTTTTCTTGGCAAGAGAAAAATACTCTAAGATAGTATACTATGTTTTACACAATTCCACCACAGTTTTTTTTTTTTTTTTTGCGGGGGGTTCTGGTCGTGGGGCTTGAACTCTGGGCCTGGGCACTGTCCCTCAGCTCTTCAGCTCAAGGCTAGCGCTGTACCACTTGAGCCACAGAGCCACTTCCGGTTTTTTGCTTTTTGCTTATGTGGTGCTGAAGAATTAAACCCAGGGCTTCATGCATGCAAGGCAAGTGCTCTACCACTGAGCCACCTTCCCAGCCCATCCACCACAGTTTTTATAGACTGTTTGGCCCTTACATATCTGTTATGACCAGTGATTCAACCATTTAAAATGTATTACATGATAATTTCCTTTTCCTCTGGTTCTGGGGCTTGAATTCAGGGCCTCAAGCACTGGCTCTGAGCACTTTTACTTAAGGCTGTCTCTCTACCAACTGAACCATAGCTCTACTTCTGGCTTTTTGGTGGTTAATTGGAGATAAGAGTCTCACAGACTTTCTTGCTGGCTTCAAACTGTGATCCTCAGATGTCAGCCTCCTGAGTAGCTGGGATTACAGGCGTGAGCCACCAGTGTCCTTTTTTTTTTTCTTTTGAGGGATTCAGTGCAAATTTTCAGGCTGTGAACAGGACCTTGTGACAGGACCTTCCCATTCACTCTCCTAAATAAGTATATTTTTAAATGTCATTCATAGTATTGAAGTAGCAGCTGTAAACTAATTTTTAAAAGTGTAGTATTTAGCAGATGTAGTGGGGGCATAGCTATAATCCCAGCACTCAGATAGCTGAGGCAGAAAGACTTGAGATTGAGGTTACTCTAGGATATATAGTGAGACTAAAAGGCTTAATACTCCACTACATTTGTACTGTTTACTGAAAGGCAGAAAACTTAATTTTTTTTTTTTGGCCAGTCTTGAAGCTGAACTCAGAATGTACTGACTGAGCTTTAAGGCTAAAACTCTACCTCTTGAGTCATAGGTCACGCTTTTGGAGAAGATTTAGAGGAACAGGCACATTGAACTGAGATGAGAATTGGCAACAAAAAAATAAAAAAGAAATGAACGTGTCTTCATAACTCTCAAATACGATGGGTTCACCAGAAGACAGAAAACTGGCTCTCAATTCTAAACAATGAGATTACTTGTTAAAAATTAGAAAATACACCAGATTTCCTCATCTGTTTCCATTTTTAATTCTCTTACCCGATTTAGTTTTCAGTTCAGAACCACACAAGTAAGACAGCCTCTGAGCTTTGCATTCGCAGTAATTAATAAAGTGGAAAAGCATATGAGATGATAGTTCACGCCGTGATTGTGATATGCACTCTTCATCTTCAAAAATATCTCCTTGTCTTTCTGAAATTAAGTCTCAGTTTTAGTGAGACATGAATCTCTAGACATAAAAATCTCAAGAGAAGATTGTCCCCCAGGGCTGAGCCGAAGTGATGTAAGAGTAAACAGGAAATCTTTCTACCCCTGTGGTATATGGAAATTGCCTCAGACATCTACTACGTGGTGTTCCATTTTTACAAAAACCTCCCTATTCTCTTTGTTTATTATGTTTGTCCCTTAGTTTCAGAGCTATAAACAACACAGACATCAATAGCATAAGATATTTCCTTTGTTTACTTAATAGTGCATATTATTTGTACGAAGTAATGATCCTTTATGGAATTTCATACTTGCCTATAATATATTTTGAACATGTTCACCTCTTAGAGTACCTCTCTGATATTCTCTACTGAGTCCTGGATTTCCCTCTCTATATCCCTAACAGTGCTCACAGTACTCTTCTAACTTTTTTTGAGATGGGGGCTGGTACTGGGACTTGAACTTGGGACCTAGGTACTGTCTCTGAGCTTTTTCACTCAAGGCTAGCACTCTACCACTTTGAGCCACAGCACTACTTCCAGTTTTTCAGTGGTTAATTGGAGATAAAATTATCATGGATTTTCCTGCCCTGGCTGGCTTTGAACCTCTATCCTTAGATCTCAGCCTCCTGAGCAGCTAGGATTACAGGTGTGAGCCACTGGCACCCAGCTTCAAGAAGCTTTGGTAGTCATAGGCATCGCAAGGTAAACTTGATTCCTCTCCCACAAGTGTTTCTGTTAGTTTTATTTATGGATTAGACTTCCTCCATGTTCAGATCATAAAAGTGAGGCCAGATATCTTGAATTTCCTTCAGTCTGGATTGTGTACACGTTGCTTCATTTAAGATTAGGTTCTCTTATACTCACCACAAAATTGGTGAGAAACAAAATTAGAAAATGCATGAAATTAAAGGAAGAATATAAAATATTCTCTTGAGGTAAGATGGAATCATGGCTGAATTTGTTTGTCAAAAGCCCTGATGTGCCTTGCCAGTGTGTAGAACTGTTCTAGATGCTAAAAATTTCAAAACGTTTTTTTTTGTTTTTGTTTATGCTGATGTTGGTGCTTAAATTCAGTCTAGTGCTTCCTTGAATTTCTTGTTTATGGCTGGTACTTTACCATTTGAGCTACACCTGCAGTCCAGCATTTTTCTGGTTAATTGGAGATGGAGTCTCACAGACTTTTCTGCTCAGGATATCTTCTAATTGTGATCCTCCAGATCCCAGTCTACTGAGTAGCTAGGGTTATAGATGTAAGTCTTTGGTGCCCAGCAAAAATATGGTTCTCTAAATGAGTTTATATTCTTTATGGACAAGGGATTTTTGTCCAAACATTTTAGTTAATACCAAAAGAAATCCTACATTGAATAAGGAAGACAATCCAAATAAAAATAGATAGAAATATGGAAAGGTAAATAACAAAAAAACAAATGGAGGAGGAGGTTCAGATCCCCATTATGAAGTCAGATGTACATATTAAAACAGTGACATTAAAACATTTGCATATTAGCAAATTTAAAACTGTATTAAAAGCTGATGCCCATGAAAAGTCTAGGTGTTGATTGATTGATTGTCAGTAATGAGGCTCGAACTCAGGGTCTAGTTGCTGTCCCTGACCTTTTTTTTTTTTTTTGGGTCCGGTCGTGTGGCCTGAACTCTGGGCCTGGGTGCTGTCCCTTAGCTCTTCAGCTCAAGGCTAGTGCTCTACCACTTGAGCCACAGTACCACTTCCAGCTTTTTGCTTTTTGCTTATGTGGTGCTAAGGAATCGAACCCAGGGCCTCATGCATGCAAGGCAAGTGCTCTACCACTGAGCCACCTTCCCAGCCCCCCTGACTTTTTTTGTTTAAGGCTAGTGCTCTACCACTTTGACCCACAGCTTGACTTCATTTTCTGGTGATGAATTGGAGATAAGAGTCTCACAGACTTTCCTGCCCAAGCTGACTTTGAACTGTGATCCTTAGATCTCAGCCTTCTGAGTAGCTAGGATGACAGGCATGAGCCACCAGTGCCTGAATAGTGATTTATTTTTTATGGAAATTGATTTGGAAATATTTATTAAAATTGTAACAGGGTATATACTTTGAGCCATGAGTCATACTAGAAACTTATCTGTGGAAAATGAGAGATTATTAGATAAAAGTATAGTACAGAATGCTATTACACTATCATTTGTAATTTAATACAAAGATAAACTAAATGTGTAGTCTTAGAGAAATGGATGAGTCCAATATTATATATTCATATTATAGATTCAAATCAGATATTAAAGCAACACAGCAGCAACTGTATATGTGTGTGAGGATATATTTATAAATTCGTTTTTTCTTATGGAGAAAAGTACAGAAGGTATTCAACTGATTCTGAGTATGGGTTACATGAAGAGGATTTATATGCAATTTCTTTTTCCTGCAGAACCGGGGACTTGGATTCAGGGCCTGGGCACTGTCCATGAGCTTTTTTTGTGCTGAAAGTTAATGTTCTAACACTTGAGCCACAGCTCCACTTTCAGCTATTTTTTTGTGGCTAATTGGAGATAAGAGTCTCATGGACTTTTCTGCCTAGGCTGGCTTTGAACCATAATCCTCAGACCTCAGCCCCCTGATTACAGGAGGATTATAGGATTACAGGCATCTAGCATCTAGATTTGTGGGGAGGTTTTAACGTCAGGCTTTATATGTGACTAGGAATAATGTATGGAAGGAAAAGACATACAAAGGAAGAATCAAAAAATAATTCTTACAACTTTATGATACCATTTATAAAAATCATATACTATAAATAGCTTTATGAAAAACTTAAATATAGGAAAATCTGTATTTACTACATTATAGGAACAATTATGTTATAAATCTATCATCTATCTATCTGTTATCTATCTCTAATGAAAGAAGATATTTGATGGTATCATATATATATTGTGAATCTATTTGCGTGAAAAGATGTGACTAAATCAAATTAACAAGCTTCAGTAGAGCAAAAGAAACAATTCATTGCCAGGCTCTGGTGGCTCATGTCTGTTTGCCATTCAATGCCAGCCTGGACAGGAAATTCCACAAGAGGTTTATCTCCAATAAACTACTCAAAGCTGGAAGTGATGCTATGGCTCAAGTGGTAGAGCATTTGCCTTGAACAAAAGTAGCTCAGGGACAGTGCCCAGGCCCAGAGTTCAAGCCCCAGGACTGACTGGTAAAAAAAAAAAGAAGAAAAAGAAAAGAAAAGAAAAAAGAGAAACAATTCATAGAGTGAACAGACATATAAGAATTGAAGGGAAATACTTGTAAGGTCCATACATGAGGAGGGGTTGATCTACAAAATATATAAGGAACTCAAATCAATAGCAAGAAAGTAAATATGACAAATTAGTAGTAAGGAAAAGGGGCAAGGAACTTGCACAGACATTTACCAGCATCTGGGGGCCAGGAGTAAATTGGTAGGAGGATATGAAAGTTTTAGGAGACATGAGATTTAATGAACGACAAGTTGACCATCATCGATGACAATGTATTAGGTATTTGGACATTATTAGAAGAGTGGATTTTAAG